ATACAATGTACATATTCAAATAATTAAATAAGAAATTAATGCATAAATGGCTCCATGGATGAGTACAGCATTCTGGGCTTTGCACTGGTGAAAGTGCTGCTATTTTGATACTCCAACTTGGATGCATGTAGCCACGTACACGCGTTTACCACTCGCTGAGCAACCCTCGCAGAGCCTGGCATCCCCCGCCGTACCTTTCGCCTTTGGCCTTGCGTGTTCAGGCCGAGCCGAGGCATTCATCGCCTGCTGTTGCCTTTTTTTGTGGTGTTTGTTCCTCTCTTCGCTGGACCTTGGCACAATTGTAATTGTAAATTGGCTCAACTCGAGCCAAGTTGATGTCGTCTCCGGGTAATTGGATACCAATGTAACAACTGTTTGCTTTCCTTAGCCCACTGCTGGTCGGGCCCTGGCCTTTTGTTATCAGCCGAAAATGCATTTGCGCCCAGCGTGAGGTCCATTCAGGACTCGGCTCGGCTCGGCTCGGCTCTGCTCCTGCACTGAGTGACTGACTGATGGACATGCCGAGGGCAGAGGACTCTTTTGCAGAGCTAACACGAACAATTTACATAGCCGCGGGCACAGTTTAGTCACACTTCAGTTGTCCCCATACCCACAGACACACAGCCAAAACCCAAAGCCGTTACGAATGTGCACCACGTGCCGCACTCTCGTCAAAGGCAAACAAAAGCTTGACTTTTGGCGCCCCGGCAATCCTGTGTGCGGCTTTGAACTCAATCCTGGGGACCACACACACGGTCAACCGAAAGCTAACGGCACTTGCCCCGACCAATAAACAACAACAAAAAAACACGCCAGAAAGTATCGCCTTACTGTGCGATACACGAGTGCCCGGGTCGAGTCTGAGTATCTGAGTACATCGTATCGTATCGTATCGCATCGCATCGCATCGCAATGCAACGTATCGCTTCGGTCGCTCAGTCATCATCATCATCATCATCATCATCTTCGGTCGGCTGTGAGAACCTTTTGACATTGGCGTGTGCCCTGCGAAGGCTGCGAAATGAAGCTTTTGGTCCGGTACCCTGTAGTCTGAGTTGTCTGAGCTTAGAATGGGGAAAACACTAAAAATCCATCAATAAGTATCAATATTTAAGTGCTGCTTAGGACAGGACACTTCTGGCTGACCCTCGCTAATTTTCAAACATTTTTAATTCCGTTTTTTAGCATTATTATGGCAGCTTTAGTCTTTTTTTGCTCTCAAAGAGAGCACATTTAAGCCATTAATTGCGGCTTTAATTAGAGTCAAGAATTTGTCTGTTTTTGGCAGGGTAGCATCATAGTCGAGCAGGAGTGGCTGGCAGTAGATTTCATGGCACGTCTGATTGCCTTGTGCAGTTTGCACAGTTAGAATTGATTGAAAAACCGAAAACCGAAAACCGCAAATGCAATTGCAGAGCGAATTGCAAATCGAACGCATGCAAATTGGGCCGCGGTGCCGACTGTGGAGGCAGGTTCAAAAACCAGTAGCCGCCGATGCCACTGAATCCACTGAATCCACCGCGGGGCCAGTTACAGTGCAGCTCGAAGCGGAGCGGAGTGGAGTGGAGTGGAGTGGAGCAGCAATTTGGCAGCGTTTAACTGGCGGCGACGACCGACAAATCGATTTTTCTGATCCCTGGCGCCACAAAGCCCATTTACAATAATTTAAAGGCAACGTCAGATGTTAGCGAAGTCAGAGCGAAGGGGAAAAGAATTCAGAGAGCTGCCACAGAGATGAACGTATTGACATAACCTTGTGTCCAGCATCCATCCCCTTTGACCCAATTTGGCACATAAATTTCCAGCAAAAACTTCCTGTCCTTGGGCCTCTCTGATGCCGCGCAACCATCCTTCTTCCGGCAGCGTCTAATTCGATAAACACACGCATTTAAGCGCACAAATTTATTAGTATCGGAAGCTCCAAACTCACGCATTCAACCCCATTGCCATCCACACTCCACATTCCGTATTCGATTCCATGCCTTTCGGCTTGGCTTCTGTGCTCCGTTCAGCCCTGTTCCGTTTCGAGCTGCGCTCTTTGTGCGCAACAAATTGCCTGTGTAATGAAGCAGCATCCCGGCACTCTCTCGTCCCAGCCGATCCTTGCAGTCCCCCGCAATCGCCTGCATCCTGTGACAAATTAGCCTCACAAAGAAGTCGATAAAAAAAGCAACGTCGCCAAATCGATGGCGCGGACCTTGAGCAGAAAGTTGTCAATTAGCTGGAAAAGATTGCGACAACAATTCAGATGGGAAAGCCCTAAGAACGAGTGCGAGTGAGAAAGGGCAGGGAACGGGCAGCGGGCAATGGTAATGGGATGTGGGTGGATGTGGATGTGGCACGACGGCGAACGCATTGCAATTGCTTCCGGTGTGAAAGCACTTTGTCAGCTCGGATGCACAAAAGAAGCCAAGCCAAGCCAGTGCCAGTGCCAGTGGCAGCTCGGCAAACTTGCAAGGGGAAACGTAGCAAGGAATTACTTACTCCCACAATAGACGCAATCATTCAAACGAGTGATAAAAAACGATGGAAATTGTCTGTCAGTGCATGGGGATGATGACTTCAGCTTAGAAGCGAATTGCAAAAACGCTGAGACAATAATCAAGGACCATGTTTAGCTTTAGGTTCGATTTGGTTGTACTTTATTTGTGTATTATTTTTTAGCTGATAAATGAAGTTCGTTTTTCTTGTAAACTCAATGCATTGAGACATCTTATAATACGAATTTGTTTGCCATTCCCAATTGGGATGCCATTAATGTGACAAGCGATAAGCTAACAACAAAAGAAAAAGGGTGGAAAAACCATCTGCAAGCTGCCTCATTGCATTTGTTGCAGTTCTGACGATCTGAGTAGCTATTGGATTGAATATTCCCACAAAATCTGCGTTAGCTTAGTTGTTTATTATCATAAAGGACTCTCCTTCAATGTGTATACGAAACCCTTATATAATAGCATCAATATAATCATAACAACGATAACCAATTCCATGCGATTAAAGTGCCATAAATTGTGTGTTTGCAAGGCAACCCACAGTTGACCCACAATTTACACACTTCTTTTTGGGGTCCAGTTTGAGGGCTCCCACTGACACTTTGTTTGCCCAATCATCTGTGAGATGAAAACAATAATATGCAAATTTGAGGCTGAACCAGGCACCCACCACCCACAACCCACAAACCCATGCCCAAAAACCCAAAGCCCTTCCATTGTGGCTGCGTTCTCAGTGAAAACTTTCGCACGGTCGGGCGATTTGACGGGCCACTCATAAATTTATAAGTACTCCACTCCACTCCTCGCCGCTCGAGGCACTCATAAAAATTTCAAATCGATGCGAAAAGAACTCGACTCGACTGTAGATACTCGTATGAGTTCTCACATAGAGAAAGAATAACTGAAACCGAAGAAAAACCACACCGAATAATCAATTTGTTACAGAGGCGTTATGCAGACGTCGTCGTCGATGACTCCCAGGAAACTCTACGCACAAATCGCGGAACCCTCCGACACTTGACTTGGATGACGACGCAGCCACTTCACGCAGAGAAGAGAGACCGAGAAAGGGAGAGAGGAAGAGGGAAAGGGAAAGGGAAAGGGAGAGAGAGTCAGAGATTTGAATGGTATTGGGTTCCGATTGCATGTAGGGGTTGCGCTGTGCGCTGTGCGCCACTCGAAGGCAACGCAAATTGAATTCGCTTAGCCGCAACCCCATAAATTAGAACATTAACATTGGCAACGGCCCAGACCCAGACCCAGGCACGGGCGCGGGCAGTGGCAGTGGCAAGGGCAAAATGCAAAAATTGAAATTGTCATAAAAGTAGCGAAAATGGGCCGCTTGCCATGTAAACAGGCAAAACAAACAGCAACGGGGTAGGTACGAGGAGTAGTACCACAATCTAGAGATGGCAGCGTGAAGCGGGAAGCCTGAGAACCCTCAAATGGACTGCAGTGCCGATCAGGGAAGAGTCGAAACTTAGTGGACGCAAGCAGCTAGAACCATTAGAAATAATTACTAATAGGAACATATGCGATTGGGCACAGATCGGGAACCAGTTCAGTCCTAACATACGCATCGTCAGCAGTGATCTCAGCTCACGGTGCCATCACCAAAGCTAAAAGCTAAGGCCGAATCGCCCTTCATTGACGCTTCTGGAGGGTTGTTCCGGGCGAGTCAATTAAAAGCGTTTCGGCATCCGGCACTCGAACGGAAAGCGAGTGGCGTCTTTGGCCTGGAGTGGTCCGAGTCCGAGTCCGAGTCCGAGTCGGAGTCTTGCCTCTTGCCTCTTGGCTCTTGGCAAATGTTAACAATTTCTAAGTGAGCAGTTTAATGGACCACAGACGCTTCCCAGGCCACAAAAATGCAACAGTTCTTCGAGTGGCCCTATCAAGGAGTTGCCCCTTGGGTTGTTTCCCTTTGTGGCCGCTCGTGTGTCAGCTCGCATTAGGCTCAGGCTTCGGGGAAAGTCCTTCAGCGCGACTCCTTCACCCGGAAAACAAAGGCCAGTTCGCTCTTTCATTTTTGGATTGCTCTTTTTTTTCTTTGCTTTATTATTACTACACACAATAGACATCTTAAGACTAGGCACAAAAAAAAGTTTAAAAAAAAAAATTATTGTTTGAAAAAAAAAAATTGTTTTTTCTGTTTTGTTGTTGTTGCTGCTGCTGCTGTTGTTGTTGTTGTTGGTCTGCTTCGTATGTACAAAAATCATTTACAAAAATTTACAACATTTTCACTAGTCTAAGTACATTTAAATATTTATTTATTTATAAAAAAAAGTATTTTGTTTTCTCTTCACAATTACTGGGGCAGATGGGAAAAATCGGGAACTTGATTAATACTGCGAGCGCTTCAAGCCGTTTCTCTTTGGGAGTCAAATTTTGCAACACAAAATAAAGGAAAATAGTTGCAAATATTCAGGAAATATTCTGAAGCAATGCAGAAATACAATTTAAGCAAATAACAAAATAAAAACTGACAAATTTTTAGTTTAAAATGCACTGACTTTTGCATTTGTTAACCCTTTTTTTTTAGATAATTATTCAACTCCATTTAGTTAATTTTCACATTAAATTTAGCAAACAATTTTAAGACTGCTTAAAAAAAAAACAAAACTAAAGCAAAACATTTCCCGAACATTTCGTAGGTGCTAGACACGAGTGTGCCCCATGATGATGTTTAGACAGTTTGTGAGATCCAGCTTAGAGAGGGTGCACTGGGGCCAGCTCAACAGCTCAACAGCTCATCGGCTTATCAGACCTCCAGGGCCAGTTCTTCGTCTTCGTCGTCGTCGTCGGCGTGCTCCCGCTCCCGCTCCTGCTCGGCGCCGCTTCTGTGCTCCTCGTCGGCGGGCAGGGGCGAGCAGCGCATCAGCTTGAGGGGTGCTCCGGGCAGATCCTCGACCTCGTTCAGCCGCTCGCGGTCGCGGCGCGGCGGACTGCCCGGATTGAGGGGCGGACTGGGCGTGAGCAGGCGTTGGCGACTGCTGCTGCTGCCCCGCTCGCAGTCCGCCTCGCTGTTGGCGCTCTGGCTGGTGGCCGGCGAACGGTCGCGCGGCGGTATCAGTTGCTGCTGCTGCTGCTGCTGCTGCGGTGGCTGAGCAGTGGCGGCGGCTGCCGCGGCGGCCGCATAGTAACCGCTGAGCATTGGCGCAGCACCGGGTGGCGGTGGGGGCATGCCGGGTAGCGACATGCCCGGCGGCATACTGGTGGGGTACATGCGGTAGGAGGCGGGCATCGCTGGCTTCTGCAGGGCCGCTGCGGCGGCCGCCTGGCGGTAGTAGATATCGATGGCCGAGGGCGGTGCGCCGTGGGGCGATTGGGCGGCAGCGGCAGCCGCATACGGCCAGGCGCTCAGATAGGGCGTGGCACCGCCGTACAGCCGCTGGAAGGCCGCGTAGTTGCCAGCCTCTGCCAGCAGTTCCAGGCCCACGGCCGTCTGTCGCTTCCATTTGGTTCTGCAAACGAAGAAATAACAAAAAGAGAACGATGAAGCTGACGCTAAAGCAGATTGGCCAACAAATAGAGGATGAAGAAGAGCAAAAAGACAGAGAAAGACAGAGAGAGAGAGAGAGTCCTCTCCATTAATCATGGCCGTAGTACTGCCGAGTCACCGCCCGAGTCCCGAGAGTTCTCTCTGCCCTCTCCCAGCAGTCGGTCCGGCCCCGCTCCTCCCCGACTGTTTATATTTCGCACTTAATTGTTTTGTCATTAATCTTGTGCCAGTCCACCGAAAAAAGTCCAACAAAAAAAACTAATAATATCCAAAAACTCTAAACTGAAAACGGAAAACCGAGTCCTAATTGACAGCGTCCCGCCCCGCGCCACAGCCGGAGCTGCTGCCTGCATTATTTTTATTTTTTTTTTGCGCAAATCCTTTAATTGTTCGAAGGCGCCAGGCCCTTGACTGCAACTGAAACTAGAATTAGAACCAGGTCGGGGACTGCGACTGGAACGCAGACTGGGCATAGGGTCGAGTTTTTTACACATTTTTTGCACATTCATCGCCTTAAGGGAGCGACAGAGGGAAATGGAGAGGGAGAGAGTGTGAGTGTGAGGGGAAAGCAGCTGTGAAGTGGTTCAGCAGGAGCAGGAGCAGCAGGAGCAGGAGCAGGAGATTATGTGTTGACTTTGGCATTGGGATAATGGTAGCACATTTGTTTTTCTTAGCGCATTTGAGTTGCTGCCCTGCCGCTTAAAAATACATAAAAAGACGATAACAAATTTACTAAAAATATTTCAACGAAAGCCTCGAAAACTAAGCAAATGCCAGGAAACAAACTAAAGCTGTTACTGCAGTCAAATCTAAGCCGCAAAAGGCGTAACAAACAACACTAGAAACAAACTACGAGTGTGTACAATAAAGAAATATAATCCGTACTCCAGTTTAAGAACCGAATGCCAGACAGGGGCACAGCAAGCACATCCGGTTCGCAAGATGTTTTGGCTGCTCTCCAACTTCAGCTAAGTATTGCACTAGCCCCTGCCCCGCCACCCAGATGTTCTTGTTGTTCTTCTTGTTGTGGTTCTGAGACAGCGAAATAGTGACAAGTCATTGGGCAATAATTAAAATTGAAAATAAAATGCCAAAGCAGCAAGAACGTAGGACAGCAGCAGCAGCAGGCAGCAGCAGGCAGCAGCAGCGACTGAGCATCAATTCGAACTCGAATTCGACTACGAAAGACCTAGGCAACAAACTTGCACTGAGAGAAAATCAAAGAGGGAACATCGTCAGATTGAACACATCGATGACCATTATAGTCAGGCTAACAAAAAAGTAAACAACTCATTTAGTAAATCGCCGACGAGATTTTACGACTCGCAGCGCAAAATGCAGCAAATTAAGTAATCAGCATAAAAACACTCCACACAAAAATGGGAAAATGGATACGTGAGTGTCTCAATACAGCGAGGGGGGAGGGGGGTAGGAGGCTGGTCGCCATTAAAATGATTTTTATTGGAAAAGTGCGCGAAGAAATGGGCGCAACCCATTAAAGGCGCTGATTAGCGACCAGTTGAGCTGAGTGCCGCACTGCCGGCAATCAAGCCAAGCCGCCTGACAAAGCCTCAAAGGAGAGCCGCTGCTAAACAGGGACGGATAGAGGGGATGGAGGGGCAGACTCACCTGCGATTCTGATACCAGGTTTTCACCTGGCAGTCGCTCAGCTCCAGCTTGTTGGCCAACTCCATGCGATCCTGCACGCTCAGATATTTCTGCCGCTCAAAGGACTTCTCCAGCGTCTGTAGCTGGTGATCGGTGAAGGCGGTGCGCGCCTTGCGCTGCTTCTTGCTCAGACTGAGGCTCAGGTGGGATGAGGAGTCACCGTTGGCGGAGCTGCCGTTCTTCAGGCTGTCCTCGCCATCGTCATCTTTGCCACCTAAAAAGGGGAACAAAACAAAAGCAACATGATCGATCGATCATTAGTAAAAGAATGTTAGCTTTTAATGTGTTGTATGTATAATGAATATATATTTTATATTCATTTATTTATGCACATCTGATTTGTCTGAGTGTAGCTGTTCCTGGTGCCTAGCTTTCTGTACCCCCCCCGCCCGCCGCACCCATTCATTCATTTGCAAAACAATAAACCCACTCACGGACATCTCTCATATTTTTGCAATTTTCTGCAACATTTACGCGCTTTTTAGTTCTTTTTATGACCAACTCACATGCAACAAGAGCAACCTGCCACTGCCACAGAGCATGTTCAGATGTGGCAACATTGTTGTTGCCGCTTCGCTGTCCGAATGCCTTCTGCTAATTTGCAATTAAACAGTTTATGAGCACAAATTACAACAACAGCCAGCAAAACAATTATCAGCATTACATTGATGGATGTACTACATACATACAAATGTACATATAATGTACAGTGAGCACTGGCAATGGGGGGGGTACACACATAACTATGTACATTGCCAGTTCAGAGTAGCAGGGAGCAAGAAGCAGAAAGATCAACTTTTGGCCTACCAAATGTTAAGAAAGCAATCTTTTGTATCCTTAAATTTCGCTCAGTGTCCGCTTGGGTGAGTTCATGCTGAAAATCTGCTAAAATCTTTTATACTTTGTTGAATGTTTCTCTAATAACCCATGCCGGACTCTCCGAAATCCAGCCACTCCCCGATCTTTGCTCCAGTGGATGTGGCCACATATACTCCATATTTATCCAGCCCACACCACCCCCCTTTGGCATGTCTTTCCCCTATCTCTCTCTCTCTCTCTCTTTCTCTCTGTCTGTCTCTCTGTGCTCCTTCATTAACAGCCATTCTCAGGTCTTGGCTGCAAAGCATTTCCGCAATTTCTGTTCCACACTTTGCTGTTGAATACACAAAGATAGAGCGCCCCCCTCCACACTTGGCTGTCTCTCTCATCGCTCTCTACTTACAGTAACCCCTTCCCCTGCTTTCCCTAGTCATTCGCATTTGTAATTAAGTGCTTGTGGCTAAACTGTATTAAACATGCTTAAGTGTGCAGCGACGACTTCCTTTTGCGCTATCTCTCACTGTCTGTCGCTGCGCTCTGCTCTCCTTTCCCGCCGCTCTGTGTGCAATTTTTTGTATTTTATTTATGCTTGCATTTTAATTGCGCAACATCAACAGCAGCAACGAGCAGCGAGCAGCGAGCAGCAGCAACAACTATGAGAAGCAGCCAAAGCAGCCAAAGAGGGGAAACACATTTGCAATTGGCCTTTTTGCATTTTAATTAAAGGCGATGCACCCTCGCCGCGGGCAGCAACTTCCAGCTAACTTTTGTATAACTATCGTTCTGCCTGCACTCTTTGGGCCGTTTTTCTTTTCTTTGTTGTTTCGTGGCTAAACGTTTATCAACATTTTGATAATGTTGGCGTTTAGTGCACTGAGGAGAGAGAGAGAGAGAGCGAGAGCGAGATGTAAAGAGGCGGAGGGAGAGACACAAGAAGATGAAGAGGCGCAGACATAGGCAAAAGCTCAAGCAGAGGGAGAGACACAAGCAGTGGCAAAAGCTCGGGTAGAGGGAGCGGCACAAGCAGAGGCAGCGGCTGCGGCAGCGGCAGCGGCAGCGGCTCACGGACCTAACCTTATATAACGGTTACTTGGCTCTCGTGTTGGATGCATTATAATTTATAGCCATAATTTATAGCTATAATGTTGTTATAATGTAGTTGGGTCTATGATTTAACATTTCCTTTACATCAAATGAGCTAAAGAGGAACCACCGCAAATCCAACGATTATTGAATGCCCTTACAAGGCGTGAAGGCCTCTAAATGAGTCTGGCGGTGGGAAGCTCCACCCACAACTTACACAACACTGTGGGAAATAACACTTCAATAAATGAGCTCCACTGTGTGTTAGCTCTTGTTACTTGCATTTACATTTAAATATGCAACTTAAAGTTGCTCTTAGACTTAGCCGGAAAACCCTTCCAATGTTCACTCTAGAAGAGCTACTTTCTTAGGGTATCCAACACTGACTGCAAGTCTATGTTTTGGCCAGAGAAGAATGCTAAAAACAAAAGACTTGGGTAACGAACTTGGTTGGCTTTTGCCGACGATTTTCGTGGCGCACGTGAGCATTTATTTATTTATTTATTATTTTTGTTGTTGTTTTCCATTATGTGAATTAAGTGGACTTGCTTTTGTCTTTATCTCTATCTCGGTCTGCTTGCTGCTGCTTCTTATTCTGCTTCAGCTCCTTCTTCCTCTTTTGCTGCCTCTTCTTCTCGCTGCTCGCTTTCAGGGGCTTGGAAGCCAAACAAAGAGACTGAAGGCATTCTTGAAATACCTCAAAATTCGGCCACATACTCGTCTGAAAGATGATTCCCCAAAATATCAATTTCAATTTGAAATCAATTTTTTATTATTTATTTTTCGTTTTCTTATTTTTTTGCTGCTGCTGATCCTTTGGCACTTGATGGTGGGCCACGAAGGCATTGAGGCGGCAAAAGAAATGTGATTCAAGTGATTTCGTATGCCCGCCGCCCCGCTCCACCGCCGTTTTGCAGATCGATCAGTGAACAGTTCAGTGGGCAGGGCAGGGCAGGGCAGGGTGAGGCAGCCAGCTTTTGGGTCAATTTCAAACGCGGCTATAAGCCAGTGACAACGATCCGATCCTTTGAGAAGCAGCAGCAGCAGCACAACAGCAACAACTGTCGCTCGCACGCGTCTCAAGTGACACGCGAGTGTTGTGTGTGGAGAGCGGAGACTCGTAACCTGTGGAGACTCGTACCCCAAGCACAGACCCATACAAGGTACCCTCTCTCTCGCTCTCTCGCTCTCTCTCTATTTTTGTGTGTGCTCCTGGTCTCTCCTTCTTTGTGTTGTTGCTTTAGCTGGTGGGCTTCGATTAAGCCGTTAAAAGCTGCGTTTTGGTTTTCTTTTCAATGCAGTAAAAAACAATGCAATGATATTGATGAGTGACGCAGCCAAGCTCTAAACAGGCGAAAATAAATTTAGAGATTTTTGCGGCCATACAATCGGTAGATTGATGAAGGGAAGCAAAACATAAGAATTTAGCAGATAGATTTCGACATATGTTGCATGTTTTTTCCAGTCTAGGAATTTGGTATGGTTAATGCAGTGGGTATTAAAAGGTTCGACACTGAATCAAAAGCCTTTCTTTCTTTCATATTTTGTAAGCAAACCGCTGCGCGTGGGCCCCGCCACAGCTGAGAGCAAGAGCAAGAGAGAGAGAGAGAGAGAGCGAACTGTCAATGGGATTGACTGTGACTGAGACTGAGACTGCGACTGGCACTGCGACTGTGATTGTGTGTGCGTGCGTGTGCGTGTGTGTGTGTGTGTGTGTGTGTGTGTGGGCTGTGCTGTTGTCCCCGCCAGCAGATTAAACTTAATTTTTATTTCTCGAATTTGATTTGTATTTATTTGTGGGGTTTTTGTTTTCTTATTTTCGTTTGGCTTGTGTCTCAAATCAAAGGCAATTTCGGTTTGGAAAAATTGACAGCGGGATGTCAAAACAGAAGGGGGTCCAGTCCGGGGTGCGGGGCTCGTATGTGTTGCAGTGGGCTGAGTCGATTTCTTTGATTTAAGCTGCGCTTTCTGGTTATAGTTTAATTTGTTAATTGATTTTGGCACAAGTCAAACACACACACAGAAACCAAAACGAAAACAAAACTGTGAAAATTGTGCGTGAAATTGCAGCAAATTGTTGAGCGTAAAGAACACAGAGATAATGAAACAAATTAAGGAAAAATAAATTATAGTTCCTAATGTCTGCCAAAGCTAGAGCTATGAACATTATAGAAAGCTAACGTTTGGCTTTACTCATTTAATTGTATTGAAATGGTGAAGAAGACTTCCCCGAAGATGTAAAGAATTAATATACAAAAAATATAAATATCTTTGAGCAAAACTATGGAGCAGTTGCTGACGAAGAAGCACTGAATATTTGTAAATATATCAGCAAACTGGCAGACCATTTAAGTCATTAAAATTGCCTGTATAAAAGGGTAATTCATGTCTACAAATATCTAGACTCTAGAGTCGCAACCCTCGCAATTAGCTATCCGCTACGCCTTTCCCTGCCTCCTCTCTGCATTTTCTATCAACTCAGAACAGAAATAAATTGAAAACGCACTTTTACGAGTGTTTAATAGTGATTTGTCATAATTTGCATAACGCTTAAAAGCACTTAACAGCTAAACAAATAAACTCAAGAATACTAAATAGAAACTGAAACCGAAACCGAAACAGGCAGCAAAATCAATTAAATTTTTGCACGCATTGGGGGGAAATCAGGGGAACAGAAGGAGGGCACTGGGCACTGGGTACTGGGCTGGGGAACCGTCAAGGGTAGTCCAACTTAGACACCGTTGACAGTTTTGACTGGGAAATTATATATGTATGTACGAAAAGTGTGCACTTTGTTAATCTGCTCGAGAGACCGGGCAAAGTCTCGCGACTCGCGAGTGGAACAGGCACCTGCTTCTGCCTCTGCCTCTGCCTCAGACCCTGCCCCTGCCCCTGCCTCACCTCTATATTAATATCTACCCCGCTCTGCCCTCCCCTTCCACTCCACTATGACTGGGCAGAGCGAGAGGCTTCCACTATCAAGCCAACATTTTCCCATTTCGATTCAGGCACGGAGCTGCCGACGCTAACCGCATGCCAGTTAGCACACAGTTCACAGTGGTTTCTGTTGCAGTTGTTGTTGTTGTAGTTATCTTACTCATTAGCCAACAACAGCCAGAACTGTTAGCGGCCTAAAACTGCACTCAATAGTTGCTCTCAGGCAACTGAACATTTGATTTTTGTTCACTTCCCTAGTCACTGCTCAGTTTTAATGCTAAAACGGCCTTCCTTTTGCATTTATAATAACCATCTCCAAATGAGCCATTTCCAAACAGTTTCACAGCAATTAAGAGCGCATATTTTTGTCTATAAGTGTTTATATAAGTGTTCCCAGATACATTTAGTAAGAGTCAATCAGTTTTTATGAAGTGCTTCGAGCACTACGCTACTGAAGAAGCTCAAACTATTTCTTATGGCTTACCAATTATGGTCTAGTAACAAGATGTAATTTGAATATTTCTGAGTCTTCGAAACACAATTGTTTTGCCAATAAGCGTATTGCAACCATATTCCTCATTCCCGGCTCCCATTCCTCATTTCTATAGCTCATTCCCGTATGCAGATTCCATTCATCAAAGTTTCAGTCTCCTTAGTAGGAAACTATTATCAAAAATAGTTCTTAAAAGTGCCTTGGAACGGCACAATAAAGTAAACATAATATTAATATTAGCATAATAATATATTTGCAATAGCTTAAGTTTGCAGTGACTGTAAATCCCCTTAAAAATCACTTCCTCTCCCAGAACGATACATCGCATCGCACTCTATAGATCTGCCTCCCCTTTGAGGCATCAATATAAATTCCTTATCGCACTCACCACAATCGTCGCTGTCGCTGTCGTCGATGGTGCTGGCCTGGTCGCCGCTGATGCTGCTGCCCGCTCCTCCCAGCATCATGCCGCTTCCACTTCCATTGTTATTATTGTTGTTGCTGTTGGAGCTATTGTTGTTGTTATTATTGTTGTTGTTGGAGCTGCTGTTGTTGTTGTTGTTTCCAATTTGTTGCAACATCAACGGGGAACGTGATCGCTCATCGTGATGGGGATGAGCCGCATGGTGGAGATGCTGATTGTGATGAGGCTCCAAATGGACACCGGCACCCACCGCCACTCCATGCCGATGCAGGGCCTCCAATCGCTCCCGCTCCAGCTGCTGCTGCAGATGATGCGGATGCGGATGTTGCTGCTGCTGCTGCTGCTGCTGTTGCTGTTGCTGCTGTTGTTGCTGCTGTTGGAGCACGGCGTAGTGGGAGGGTGGAAAGTGGGCCAGCAGATGAGGCGCCATCTGGTGGTGGTAGCCCAGTGCGGGGTTCGCTGGAGGCGAGTGGCGCTCCCTGAAGTGCTCTCGCTCTCGCTCTCGCTCTCGCTCCCTCTCCCGCTCGCGTTCCCTTTCCCGCTCGAAGCGCAGGAGCTGCTGCTGCTGCACAATGTACTGCTGGAGGGCGGCCTGCTGATGCTGTTGCTGCTGCTGCTGCTGCTGCTGCTGCTGGTGATGATGATGGGCGGCCACCGCTGCTGCCGCCTGCTCCCGCTCCCGCTCCCGCTCTCTGTCGCGCTCGCGATCCCGCTCCCTGCCATAGCAGTCGGTGTCATGTCCCGCGGAGGCTGCTGCCATTGCAGCTGCTGCCGCCGCCGCTGCAGCAGCCGCAGCGGCCGCACTGCCAGCCAGAATGTCCGTGATCATGAAGCGCGAACGGGTCGCCTGTGTGGTGGTGGTGCTGGTCGCATTGGGGCTGGTGGTGGCAATGGCCACGGCGCCACCTCCGGGCGGTGAATCGCGCGGCATGCCGCCGCCGACGGCAATGGCCGGACTGGGTGCGGTGCCAACGGGAGCTGCCGTTGCTGCGGACATTTCCGGTGGCATTGTGGTCATGTGTGTGTCTGCTCGCTGCCTGTCCCTGCTCCCCCTCGCGCACACACTGCTTGCTCACTTTATGGGGCACAACAACAAAAATATTTATAACACGCGCGCTTTTTCGGAGTTTCAACTTTCAATTGGTTGCTGGCACTGGCAACTGGCCTCGTCTCTTCTGCCACTCGATTACTGTTAATTGTTAATGTTACGAGTGTTTGGATTTACAGTTACAGTTACTTCTGCTGCTGCTGCTGCTGCTGCTGCTGCTACTGCTGAAAGTCGTAACTTGTGTGCTTGTCTACCGCGAACCAGAGCCGGTGTGGACAACCGCTCGCCTGTGGATTTCGACCGAAACTGAAGCACGGACCCGGCTCAGTCACTCAGCCAGGCCCGACCCGGCCCGGCCCGGCCCGGCAGAAACCAGTTGAGCCCCGGCCGCCAGCCTCGTTGCCGTTCGAGCCACTCAGAGGTGTGCTGCCACCTGTCGTCGTCCCGCTCGCACTTGAGGGCCTGGCCAAGTGGGTTGCTGCTTGGCGTGGTGAGTTCCATGCACTGCACTCCGAGCGTCGTTCTGTGCGCCGCTCTCTGCTCTCTCGCTCTCTCGCTTGCTCGCTCTCTCTGCGTGTGCTTGCGCTCTCCTCGCTTGTGTCTATTGCCCGCATTTATTGGTCGTAATTGGCGGCAATTGACATTCATTAGGCTTCAATCAGCAGCAGCGTAGTTGTGTCTCTGTCTGTATGTCTGTCTGTCTGTCTGTCTGTCCGCCTGTGTCTCGCTGTCGTGGTGAGTTTCCGCCTGGCAATGGCCGCGAACCACTAGGAAGATATCACGGTCATAGTCTTATGGCGAAACTTAGGGATTTTTAATGAATATAATTTTGCTTACAATTAATTATGGGTTTCTAACTAATTTCATTAATTTTTATTTATTATTGTTATAGCTTCAGCGTTTAAAATTTAAATAATATAATTATTAATAGTTTTTCTCACAAAAGTGAATTATTTTGTACACTATTTACTTACAGTTTATCCATTGCTTATGTCCAGTGGTGTTTAACTTATTTGGAAGCATAACAAAACGATTTAAAAACTTCCAGCAAAGCCGATCCCCAAATTTACCCTCAGCCATAAACTTTTTATAGCAGCACTGCAAACTCAACACTTTTATGGCAAGCAACGCGCGCTCTTGCTGGTCGCTAGCGGACGCAGACAGACAGCAAGATGGATGGATGGATGGATGGGATGCTGTCAACCCTACTGCTGCAGGCTATATCTGGCAGTGCCAGGCCACGCCCCCAAAAACTGGTTCACTGTCAGGCACACACACACACACACAGAGAGACACACAATCAGAAAGAGATATGCGGGATGGATGGTGGCAGAGAGCATATAAATATGTATATCTGACTCGCTCTTGCCCAAGACATTGTCTTACCAAAATCGCCACTTGCTCTCTCTCTCTCTCTCTCTAGCTGTCTCTCTTTCGAATTGTGGTTGTTGCTTTTTGTTCTTCTTTTGTTATTTTTGCGCTTGTTAACACTTTTTGTTTGGCATTTAAACAGTAAATTGGCAGCAGTTAAATGGATGCCCGCTGTTCCTTCTCTCTCGCTCTCTCGCTCTCTCACCCTCTCTAAGTGTGTGCCAACTTCTGCTCCTTCGTCCTCCTTCGTATCGATGTCAATTTGCTGCCTAATCCTAATGTGCAAGTGAATGGACTCTCAGTCTCCGGGCCCATGGCTCCTACTCCAGCCAAGTGGTTGAGTGGTGAGAGAGGCGCTGGGCTGGCACTCTCGTGGTGTCCAGCCCCTGGCGCCTGGCGCTTGGCGCCTGGAGGCGGGATGCTTCGCCCGTTGTTGCATGTGGCTGGCTGCTCTCAAAAATGGCTGCATTACAAACACAACAATGACAGCAATTGTCTGAAATTATTTGTTGCTTGCTCGCAGAAAATATGTATTTCCAGGAACGAAACGCTAACCATCCATCTGAATATGTGACTTTCAAACTTTTATGAGCCAGCTAACAATGTGGCAAGCAATCAGGCTCACGCTTCAAAAGGGGTGCAGCCAAAGGGATGGGAATACATGTTGCTGACAGCTTCAAGGTACTCGAATTTAGGGTCCAATCTCGTAGAGTAAGCAAACATTTCACAGAGTAGAATCCTTCATGGGACGGGATGGGATGCTTCTATGTCAATATTAGCAGAAAACCATTTGGTTCAAAAGTCTAAGAAATGATTTATTAACTAGAAATATAATATTTTATAATTACAAATAAACTAATGCCCGATTCAGTGGTAACTGGATTTTTAAAATGAATTAAATGATTTAAAATTCTTCAATGACTATTTTCATTTATTGACTAATTTTTCCTTGATTTCTTCTTCATTAATTAACCAATTTTTGACTTCTTGTGGCCCATCTCTGCCAAGGGGTTCCAGCACCTGCCTGCCTTTCAGTGCTCGCATTAATTAGATTCCCATAAAACAAACAAAAATGTGACAACAATTTGTCTTGCAGCCTTCCAGTGGCCGTGGGCTGCTAATGAGGGGCAGCTTGACTTTCGCCCCCTTGCACACGAAATTGTCCAGCTGTGGCCGCCATTTTGTTGAAACGATGGCTAGCTAACTAACGGCACTTGCTGCTCACTCAACGCACCATCCCCCCACCCTGCATCCCCATGGCAAAGCGAAAGATATTACACAGCACAGAGAAATAAGTTAATTAAAGATGAGCTGGAAGCGAGAGGAAAAAAGGGGAAAAAAATAAACCACAATAGCAACGAAACCAAAATGCTCTTCGAGCATCAATTAAGGCTGGTCAAAAATGTCGAAGATAAAAGACTCAAGACTCTTATGCCAACTTAAACTGGTAGACTATAGAGAAAAATGATAATTATAGCTTAAAATTCATTTAAAATATCCCCAAAGTGGGTGGACTTTATTTCATATGTTTATGTTACTCGGACTATAAAATCTTTATATTTGAATCAGAGTTTTGGCACACAACCATCTAATATTTTGAGTGAAGCCTAAGCAGAAATAATAATTTAAAAGGGAAACCATTACATCAAAGAGATCTCCAATACTTTTATACAACAAGCTGAACTGTAGAACAGAATATATAAAAAATCATGGAAACATTTTGATGGCAATTACTCAAGTGAAAGGCGGCCATAAATCTAGGTAAAACCCAACGAGGGAGCCATTAGACCCATTCGTTGGAGTGTATTTTGACCTTTGTGAACGCCACACGAAATTATTTAAAAAGACATTAAAAATGACAAATACACAGTTGGCTGGAGCGGGAAGGTGAGAGTATTTTTCCCAAGCAATGAATGGCTATGGGAGCAGCAGCTTGGGACTCTCATTAACAGTGGCTACAAAATGACCAACTGACCATTAATGTGGCACTCTCCTCCGCCTCCCTCGGCCACAGCACCCTCGATGGGAGCTGCGTGTAAATTTCAGAGTGACGCCCTGGAAAGTAATTTTAATTAGCCATCGCCACTCGCCGAAACAGACAATCGTGCAGGCAAGCAGCCAACAGCTACCACCAGGCAGCAACCACCCACTGGGCCACTGGGTGGGAGAGCCAACAACCCCCTGGGGATGAGCTTAAGTGCCTCAGGAATGATGGAACGAGAGGATGTATACTGTTTGGCTTTTTGAAGGTGTCGTAATTGCACTCAGCTCACTTGATTCTCGATAAAAGCGGAACACAGGGAATTCTGATTCAGATTCCGAATGCAAACAAATTAAAAAGCACTTAACGATGGTACGAGAGGCAGGGAGACACCCGGGAGCAACGGCGGAGTGCCACACAGCCAAGATCTTCGCTGGAAGCTCCTTCTAGGCGCCGCTGAAGCTGTAGAACCGAGCGAGACCTGGGACCCTCCCTGGTGGATAAGTCGTAAATTCTTAAATCTGACCCTGGCGTGTGGCGTCAGTCAAAGCGGATTCAAATTGCCCCCCCGCCAAAAGAGTTTAACATCCTGTTGGCGGCTCTCGACTCATGGCTCTGGGCTCGATCTCTCTCTCTCTCTCTCTTAATTGAGGTTTAACACAACATTTACCGCTTTTCGCTAATCGCCTTGAAGCTGCCGACGCTGCTGTCCGCACACTGCTTCCAAGGCAATTCGAATTCGAAACCAAATAAACCCCACTGCAAATCCAATTGGCTTGGCCTCAGTGTGTGCCCGCGATCGGGGAGTGGCCCTCAGGTATCGGGTGGCATCGGGGCATCGGGGGGCAAGTGGTTTTGGGGTCTCTCTAGTAGCCAGACGTCTCCTTTTCATTCATAAAAATATGTTTGGCTTTGTTTTTATTTTTTATTTTGATTATGCGGCTTAATAACAACACGTCATGTCATTTCATTTCATTTTGGGTTTTCGGTTTTCGGTTTTCGGGTTTCGGTTGCCCGCCCTGGCCCCTCCGTCCACCCAGGCATATCCCTGATGATTCCACTGATCTCATTGAGAAATGCTCGACGTTTGTTCATCACGCAATGTCGCGTCCGCGCTTAAGACACGAACAAAAACAACAGCAACTCGCGCGGCTCCTTTCATCCGTCATCCTACGAATTTGTTTGCGTCATTTATATTTAATAATATTGACGTTTGAGCAGAATATCGACGACCCTCGTTAGGGTGCTCCCCCAAATACATTTACAAACATCATTTTTGAAGATCAATTACGGAAATGTTGAAGCGCTTCAAGCGAAAGGATTGCGGAGCGGCGATTGTTGATAACTTAACAGCAGAGAACAGCAGCATTTTAAGGAATCGTCACCTACTACTGACTGGCATTTCTAAACAGACAATTATGGCAATACGAAGTAGAGATTTGTAGTTCTAAAATGCCTATCTTTATAGACATTTTTGTTTGCTTTATTTATTTTTTCAGCATTTCAATCAAATCAATTCGCTTGAGCAAGAATTTTCTAACATTTCATAGACGCACAGAACGCGTTTTCCTCACAAATAATTACAACAATTTATGTTACAAATCTAGAGAGCTTGGCGGAAAAACTCTGGCCAAAAAGGACTACTCTGGAAGCGAAGTAGACTTCCCATTCCCATTGGCAATCCTCTTCCGAATTTGTTCAGCTAATTGCCGATCGGGCCGCAACGATCATCGCCAGCCTCGCTCCAGTTTCAGGTTTAGAA